GCCAACTCTTCCATCCACCCCCTATCATCATCGTCGGTGGGCCCCATCAGCAGCACCACCATTTTCATTTATTGACCCTCAATACAATGTGGCCAATTGAAATGGTTGTGCTTCGGTAGGCCAATTTGTAACTATGGCTTTGGTTTCATGGTTGGTTACATTTTGGCCATAGGTTTTTTTTTTTGTTTTGTTTTGTTTATCGGCCATGGAAATGCTCTACTATTGAAACGCCCTCTATTAGGCAAATAAAAATACTGATGTTGTTGTAGTTGTTGATGTTTTTGGTCAGTTTTATGATTGGTACTAATACACCATAACGGGGTTTTGTTTATGATGACGATGATGATGATAAGGTAGTGTTGGTAATTGGTATGAAGTAGGGAAGTTTGATGGAGAGAAAATACTCTACTAAAAGAGAGGGAGAAAGAGAGGAGAGAAATGATCTAGATATTTTAGATAACTTCAGATTTACCCGAAACAGGACAATTTATAGATCCTTTTCGAGACACACAAGACTCTTTTGTGTCCTTGTCTACATTTTGAGAACTTCTACAGAGAGAAGACGCATTTAAGGTCTTTTATAGGCAGAAGTCATGTTGAGGACTTCTTGAGACAGATTATCTGTTTGGTGAATTCTTGGCAAAAATCTTTGTGATGTTTTCTTGAGACAGAAGACTCAACAGAGAGAATACCCATTTGAGGTGGTTTTTTTTAGGCAGAAGTCTTGTTTAGGACTTCCCGAGACAGAAGTTCTATTGGTCGTCTTCTCGACAAAAATCTTTTTGAGGTATTCTCGAGACAGAAGACCACTTTAAAAGCCATTAATAGAGAAAGCCGTTTTGATCTCTTGCACAGGGAGACGACTTTTTCCATATCTTCTAAAGGTCTTCTATGGACAGAAGACCTTTCCTGGGTCTCCTGAACCGAAAACAACTTTCCTCAGATCTTCTTTGGACTGCAGACCTTTCCCTGAACACATAAGGTCATCTCTAGGTTTTCTGAAGACAGACAACTTCCTAAGGACCCAACGAAGACAAAAGACCGTTTTTGGCTCGTCTGAAGATAGAAGGGTTTATAGTGGTCTTTTGAAGACAGAGGGTCTTTCTAAGATCTCCTGAAGAGGAATGACCTTTCTAAGGCGTTCTGAAGACTTAAGAGGTAGAGGATCATTCTAAGACCCTCTGAAGACCGAGGTTCTTTCTTATATCCTCTGAAGATACCAGACCACGTCTTTTTAAAATCCTCTGAAGTGAGAAGACTGTTTCTAAGTCGTCTGAATATAGAAGACAGAAGACCTTTGAAGGCAGAAGACCTTTGAAGACAGAAGACCTTTGCAGATCTTCTGAAAAACGGAAGACTTTTTTTCAGATCTTTCTTTACGTCTTCTGAAAAGGAAGACCTTTCTTTGGTTTCCTGAAGACAGAGGACTTTCAAAGTTCCTCTGAAGATAGAACAGCTTTTCTAGGTTTTATTGGTCTTCTGAAGACAGAGTATCTCTCTCTAAGATCTCCTGAGGAGGGAGGACCTTTCTAAGATCGTCCATTTTTAGGTGTTCTGAAGACAGAGGATGATTCCAAGATACTCTAAAGACCAGGATCTTTTTAAGATCCTCTGAAGACAGCAGACCTAGTTCTCTTCCAGGTCTTTCGAAGACATTTCCAGGGTCCTCCAAAGACAGAAGACCTCTTTCAGGCCTTTTGAAGACAGACAGCCGATTCTATGTCTTCTGAATACAACATACCTTTACTTTACCTTCTAGATCTATTGAAGACAGATGGTCCTTTCCAGGAGACTTTTTCAGATCTTCCAAAGACTTAAGACTGTAACCTGGTCTTCTGAAAACAGAAGACCTTTTCTAGGTTTTCTGATACCAGAAGGAGCTCTTTATGATCCACTGAAGACAGAAGATCATCTGAAGATACCAGATATTTTCTGAGTCTTTTGATGATAGAAGATCTTTTCCAGATCTTCTGAAGAAGACATAGAAAAGGGCTATATCTTCTGAAGACAGCACAGGACCTTGTAGGTCTGTTGAAGATAGAAGACTGATTTCAGGTCTTTTAAAATTGTATGAATTTTTTCAGATCTTCTGAAGACAGGAAACGGTCATTTTTAGGTCTTTTAAAAGCAGAAGGCCTTTCCTAGGTCTCCTAAAGACAGTGGATCTTTCTAAAGTTCTCTGAAGACACAAGACCATTTCCAGGTCTTCTGAAGACAGGAGCCTTTTCTTCTAAAAACAGAAGAACTTTTCCAGGTCATCTGAAGAGGGAAAACTTTCTGCAGCGTCGATTACATTTTCCAGGACTTTGGAAGGCAGAAGACCTTTCCTAGGTCTTTGTTGGTGAGAAGATCTTTTCTGGGTCTTCTGAAGGAGTAAGACCTTTTCTTGGTATTTCAAAAGCATAAGACTTTTTCTAGGTCTTCAAAAGTGGGAGGGTCTTTTCTAGGTCTTCTTCTGGAAAGAGAGAAGATCTTGTTATGACGACGTAAGACCTTTTATAGGTCTTCTAAAGGAAAAGAACGGTTTCCGGTTCTTCAGTCGGCAGAAGACCCTTGCCATGTCTTCAGAAGAAGAAAGACCTCCTTCAAGTCTTCTCAGAGACAAAAAGGGTTTTCTATTAACAAAATATTTTTCGCAGGCACTCAGAAGACAGTAGTACATTTTCCATATTTTCTGAAGACAAAGGACCTTTTCCAGATCTTCAGATCAGCAGAAGATCGAAGGTCTTTTCCTGGTCTTTCGAGACACAACACCTTCCACAAGTCTTCAATGGAAAGAAAATGCTTTTCAGATCTTTTATAGATAGATGACCTTTCACAAGTCTCCTGAAGATGTTGGACCATTTCCACAAAAGTTCTACTATTTCCAAGGGACCCGAATAAGGTCTTCTACAGAAACCCCCGAACAAGTTATTCTGTCTTCAGAAGTCCCCCTTAGGTTTTCTGGGGCAGAAACCTTTTTCAGTTGTGTTTTTCAATAGACCTTTTCCGGGTCCTTTGAAGTAGTCAAGTAGATCTTTTAGTTCTTCTGAAGATAGAACTGGCACATTTTTAGGCCGTTAAGGGTCTCTTAGAAGCAGTTATGATAAAAATAGTTTTAAATTAGCTCATAGCTCTCAACCATATCACCCCTCCGTTTTAAAATAAATCAATATCCTCCAATTCACTATCACCCTCATCCCTTCTCCTTCCACCCTCCCCTTCTCCTACACCACGCACAACATTTAATAATATTTGAATTTGAAAAATGTGTCTACAATGTCACATTGATAGCCAATGATTGATTGATTGATGGCCCGATAAAGAGATAGATAGATAACTGGATTGATTGAATGAATGAGCAAATGAAATTATTTCACAAAAAAGAGCTAAACATCGGAGGAGAAGGAGGAGGAGACAGGGAGAAACTGGAGATTCATTAAAAAACGATAAAATTCTATGGGCAAAATAGTAACGAAAAAAAAACAAAAAAAAACGAAATAAAAATAAATTCAAACAAAGGAAAAAATGTTGTATTAGTGGCATAGAAATTGTCCAGCCATACAAATTGATGAATATCTTTCGGATGTTAAGCTACGAGAGGGAGAATAAAAAAATATAAATAGAAAATAAAAAACACGCTGACAATTTGTTATCCAATTAGAGTTGGTGGCATGGCTACGGGGGGTGAGACGGCGACGAGACGCACTTTTTTTGAGTTCAACTAAATAGATAATCGATTTTTTTTTCGATTTTTATTTGAATTCGATTCAATCAATCATATTTGCTTGTGACAAGTTTGTCTGTTTGTTTGTTCACATTGATACAGCTAGATTTTGTTGTGTCAAAATTAGACCAATTTTGAGTTTATTTTGTATTGAAATGGTATTAGTGTAATGACCTATATATTTTTTGTTGTAAATTTAATTGAAAACCAGTAAAAAAAAGTCTTAAAGTCGGGCAGGGCCGACTTAATGATACCCTACACCACTTTGCTAATTTAGTAGAGCTCCGCATAACAATTAAACGTTTTTTTGGGAAAATTTAATCATACACCCTATGATTATAATTATTATTTAAAGTTCAAAGGAGTAAATATGCCGAAGCCTTTGTATCTTTTAAATTCGGACTTGTTTTGCCCATTTGGAGCACAATTAATTTGAAATCGGAATCGATCTCGATAAAATTTGGCAAAGATATTTCTGAGCTGTATTTGATATATTTCCCTGAATATCGTTCTTACGGAGTGCATATTACGGCTGTGGGTAACAAATATGACAAATCGGATGAACAGTATATATGGGAGCTATAGCTATATCTGAACCGATCTTCACCAAATTTGACATACTAGCTTCTAGACTCAATTCGGTCGCATGTGCCAAATTCCAACCCATTTGGACAAATATTAGGTGCACAATATTTGGTGCACAATAAAAGTAAATCGGATGAAGTCATATATGGGAGATATATCCAAATCCGAACCGATCTCGATAAAATTTAGCAAGTGTATTTCTGAGCTGTATTTGATAAATTTCCACAAATATTGTTGTTACAGAGTGCATATTACGGCTGCGGAGGACAAAAATAACAAATCGGATGAACAATATATATGGGAGCTATAGCTATATCTGAACCGATTTCGATCAAATTTGGCATACTTATTTTCAGGTCCAATCTGATCATACATGCACAATTCCATACCATTCGGGCTAATATTACACGTTTGGTGCAAAATAAAAGGCAAATCGGACGAAGATATATCTCCAATTTCAATAGGGTGCGTCTTTGGGCCAAACATATGATTTGTGCAAAATTTCATCTGGATAGGGCAATAAATGCAAACTGTACTTTGTTTACAAAAATACATGGACAGACGGACGGACAATCGACTCAGAATGTGATTCTATGCAGATCATCAAAAAGAACTATGGGTATATCTCGTTTCCTTTTGCCTGTTATAAACAAATGCACAAAGACATAATATATATAATATGTATATAGAGGTTGGATATTCAAATTACCTTTATTTAATAAATTTCAAGGGCAGTTTTGTTGAATCCAATCTGAAATGAAAATAAACAAAATTTTTTTTTTAATATTTTAATATTAGAAAATTTATATAACGAGTCATGGTTAATGATATTTATGTAAATATATGTGAAAGACTATAAAAAGAAGATTTTCAATAGGTTTCGAAGAGTTTTTTTTTTTTATTCCCAGAAATATAAAAAAGTAGCCACAGGAAGCAGTTCTCCCAAAACCAGGTTTTATGCGTAAGAAGAGAGATAGAGAGAAATAAATGGTTTGCTCTTCCCTGAGTCTGTCAAAAATTATATTTATTTTATTAGACCTAAAAATGGTATGCTTTGTTCAAAAAACTAGAATCGGTGTTTTGTCTTCAGAGGGCCTAGAAAAAGTCTTATGTCTGTAGAAGACCTATGATTAGTTCTTCTGTCTTCAATAGACCAGGAAAAGGCCTTCTCTCTTCAAACGACCTAAAAAACATATCATGTCTTCAGATAACATAGAAATAGTATTTCGTCTCCAGAGGACCTGGGAAATGTATTCTGTTTTTAGAAGACCTGGAGAAGGCCTTCTGTCTTCAGAAGATCTAAAGAAAAGATTTTTATCATCAGAAGTCCTAAAAAAATGTATGGTCTTCAGATACTATCAATTACATTTATTTTATTAGACCTAGAAATGGTATGCTGTCTTTAAAAGATCCAGAATCGGTGTTTTGTCTTCAGAAGGCCTAGAAAAGGTCTTATGTCTGTAGAAAATTTATGATTAGTTCTTCTGTCTTCAATAGACCAGGAAAAGGCCTCCTCTCTTCAAAAGACCTAAAAAAATATATCCTGTCTTCAGAGAACCTAGAAATCGTATTTCGACTTCAGAGGGCCTAGGAAATGTATTCTGTTTTTAGAAGACCTAGAGAAAGCCTTCTGTCTTCAGAAGATCTAAAAAAAAGATTTTTATCATCAGAAGTTCTAGAAAAATGTACGGTCTTCAGATACTATCAATGCTACCATCAACTGTTTTTCCAGCGCTCTCCCTTTAGCAATCTGCACAGGCCGGATTTTCTATAGCCTCAACAATGTGAACTTAGGCTCAAATCCTGAAAATTCAATGCTGCTAATTATTTGTTTTATGTTGTGTAGGATACAAGATCCAAAGGGTTTTTGGAAATCCAAATTGTAAGGAAATTTTAAATGTTGGTATTGGGACCACTGCTAAAGAGCTAGTTCTGAAAATTCGTATTAAAAATACTATATTTGCTATTTTGGGGAAGACTAATATTTGGTATTAGAATCACTTTTGTGCGGTGGGGATGATATTTGGAAGTGGATTTTGAAATACGTACAAAAATGTACGAAGTAGTACTACATTTGGTACTTTGAAAACAGGACTGGGGTTTTTTGATGTTGTGTAGGATAGACGAACTAAGGGGATTTTGGAAAGTCGAACTACAACAAGTTAAAAAGCAGTGAGTCCGACCGGGTCGAACTTTGAATACCCTTCACCATTTGGAACGAATTTGGCAATTTTCAAAAAAACAGTAACATCCGTTAAAAATTCTGTTAAGATCTTAAAACTGTCGAATGTAGCTGTTATATTAGGGTCTATGCGACGACATGAATCTGCGTAGGTAACATTTGTCATAAGCCATAACAATATTCAAATGCGAAACTTAAAAAAAAAATCGGTTATAATGTCGATAAAATCAAAAACACCGAATATCGGCAGGTACCGTTATATGAGGGCTATACGAAGACGTGGACCTATATTATCCATTACGAACTTCAAATATCAAATATATTTCGGTGGAAAATGCCGCTAAAATCGCCAAAATACCGAATATCGAGAGGTACCGTTATATAGGGGCTTTACGAAGAGGTGGACCTGCACAGACAATTTTCTGCCATAGGCTGTAGTATTCATTACGAACTTCAAATACCAAATTTGAAATAATTCCGGTGGAAAATGTCGCTAAAATCAACAAAATACTGAACATCGGGAGGTAACGTAATATAGGGGCTATAGGAAGAAGTGGCCCTGCACAGACAATTTTCTGTCATAGGTTGTAGTATTCATTACGAACTTCAAATACCAAACAATTGAAACAATTCCAGAGAATAATGTAGCTAAAATCATCAAAATACCGAATACCTGGAGGTTCCGTTTTATGTGGGCTATACCAAGACGTGGACCTGCACAGACAATTTTCTGTCGTAAGCTGTAGTATCCATTACGAACTTCAAATATCAAATTTGAAACAATTCTGGTGAAAAATGTCCCTAAAATCATTAAAATACCGAATATCGGGAGGTACCCTTATATGGGGCTATACGAAGGCGTGGACTTGCACAGACAATTTTCTGTCAAAGGCTGTAGTGGAGGATATAAAAATATTGTGATTGGTGTAATTTGAAGACAATCGGACTCCGACATCACATTTTACAAGGGTTATAAGGGTTGCTTATTTCGGATTTTATGATCGTATTTGTTATTCAAAATTTTCGGGGAGGTACCAGAAGAAATGTCCCGATCTCTACCGTACAGATCTTATGTTGATGAAAATATTGCGACGTACCAAGTCTTAATGGAATCGAATGTTACTTTGGCTTTTTATGAGGTTAATGGCTATTTAAAATTTTGACCTCTTGTAAGGGAGGTACCAGAAGGAGTGGATGGATATATTTCATCTTAACACCAGGTCTTGGGTTTATAAAAATATTATTGGGATGTGTGTAATTTGAGGACAATCGAACTCTTACATCACATTTCATAAGAGTTGTAATTATTCAAAATGTTGACCCTTTGTGGAGAAGGTACTTGATGGAGTGCACCGATATTGTCCATTTTCTCACCTGACATAGCACTGATGCAAATATTAGAATTTTCAAAGTTGAAGCAAAATCGGGCTATCCTTTCTCTTTCTGAGCAGTAATTTTTTTTTTTTTTTTTTTTTTTTGAAAATTTCCAGCTATGCCTTTCTCCGAACTCGATCTAATTTGAAAAATATTATTACGATATACCAAGTTTAGACCGAATGGTATACTCCTTTCGAATACTCGAGTTGATATAGTCCAAACCTGGCACGTTGCAATATTTAGATCATATTTATTTAGGTTCGCTACGAAATGGACAATATTGGCTCATTTCTTCGGAACCTGCTACATAGAGGGTCAACAATATGAATTATCATAATAGAAGTCAAAATATATTTAAATATTCAAATATTGGTTGAGGGTATGCAGCTGTCGGCAACATCGATTGATACTTTTTAACTTGTTTCAATTTAATAATTTAAAAATATTTCCGATTCTAGAGCGTCGACTGACGTGTCTGAATTTTGATTAAATAATTTTTACTAATTTTAGAATTGTCACATGATCAAGTGTTGCAAATAAAATAATTAATAATTTATTTATTTTTTTTAATTCCGAACAACAGTTATCATTTATAAGTACCTGATTTGCGCTTCTATATTTATAGTAGAACGTTAATACGTCAGTGGGATTTGAAAAAGGTGCCGTTAAAATAAAAATAGTCCAACGCAAAATTTATCCGAAAAACGTTAATTCTTTGAGATCAGTTATTCAGCGTTGGTGAGAAGCGTAACGAGTTCTAATTAATACCTAATTTATGATGTTCGATTTATTTCAGAACTTTCACAAAAATAATTTTAGATAAATACTGTTACAAATACTGTTTCAATACAAAATATTTATTTAATTTATTAAGTTCTAATATATTTTTAAGTTTAGCCATCACCATCAACAATTTATAATCAGTACCTGTTTTCAAAAAAAAAAAAAAAATTAACCAACCAACCAATCAAGGTCTCCATTGCGCAAACTCAACGTCCTCCTCCCTGACCAACTAAACGACATTCGCCAAACAAATGCCAAGTGGTGGCCAAAAAATCCGCTAAAAATTGAAAAAATGGAAAAATATTTTGCCAAAAAAAACCAAACAAATCAAGTTTTGTTTTTTTCTTCGTTGGCCACGATCCACAGGCCACTCCGATGCGTTCCTCTTGGCAGAAATACAGAAATTTAGCAACGTTTTTATAAACATTTAACCAAAACAAGTTAACCAGAACAATTACAGCCTGAATGGAAGTGGAATGGCGTCCGATGGAGAAGATATACAGGCAAAGGTGGTTATGAGGAACTTACGTTTTTTACACCCTCCACCATAGTTTGGAGGGTATATTAAGTTTGTCATTCCGTTAGTAACACCTCGACATTATACATTTTAAACCCCACAAAGTATATATATTCCTGATCAGCATGAAATCCCATATCGATTTAGCGATGTGTGTCTGTAAAAATCACTCCAGCTTCCGAACGAAATGGTTCGAAAAGTAAAGAAGCGACTTGATCGAAACCCGCGTTGCAGTTGCTGAAAAATGGCTCGTGAGCTGAACTTATCGCAATATTCCATTTGGCAAATATTGAAAAATTATCTCGGGGTAAATCCATTGAAATTCGGAAATGTCCAAGAACTTACACCTCAACAGAAAGAACAGAAAATAAACTCAAAAGAGGTAAAGAGTTGCTTCGCTTGGCCGAAAGTTGTGAACTGACGAATTTCGGTTTCTGCGATGAGAAAACATTCGTTGTCCAGCAGTTTGTAACCAAACAAAATGATCCTCTTTACTTGCCAAAGAGGTCAGCTGAAAATATGCACCTTCGGTTGGCCACCAGAACTCAAGTGCCGGCTATGGTGATGGTGTGGGCCGCCATAACAGCCGGTGGTCGATGGATGGGGGCATCATAATAAATGCCGAATATTATTGCGAAAATATTCTGGAGGGTGTATTAAAGCCTTGGGCACTTAAACATTTTGGTCGCAGACCTTGGACATTACATCAGGACTCAGCACCATCACAGTCAGCATGCGCCACCCTCGAGGTTCCTCGCTTTATTTCCAGCGCACAATAGCCACCAAAATCTCCGAATACCAAACCTTTGGCCTATTGTGTCTGGAGTATTTTGGAAAGCAAGGTTGGCACTAAAAACTACCAAAGTGTGGGTCACCACAAGCAAGAGCTTCG